GGGTAGGAGAGAGATGACATTCATATGAAAAAAAAGAAAAAAAGAAGAAAAAGAGTTCAATGATCTCTGGTCATTTTAAGCACATAATCTTTATTGTTAGGCTGAAATTTCCTCCCCTAAGCTTCCAAAAAAGCTACAAAGCTAAATTTGTTTGACACAACATGTAGATATGAACATCTGAATCAAATTATCTGCTTAATACTCTAACAAAATCCTAGGGACTACCATGAAGTCTAAGTAGAACTAGAGCAGGAAGTTTGAAACTGGGATGAAATTCCGCTTTCTTCGTGTTAATAATGAGCTCTGCTATCTTCCTGCTCTCAGTGTAGGGGAAAGAAAAAAAGCTATCAGTACTGAGGAAATCTTATTAGATTCAACCCTATTTTTAAACAGCTGGGATCAAAATCTTCATTCAGACACACTGGTGCCACTCCATTAAATTCCAGCAGTGGCACCACTGGTAGAAAGAGAATAGCACTCAGATTTTTCACCATTAAGTAATCTGTTTTCATTACCTTCTCAGCAGTTTGTTTCATTTGCCTGCAGTAGAGAAACTAAAATTAGAAAACATTTCATGTTCATAGTTAGTTTGCTTCCAATGTGAAAAAAAAACCAAGTCTATAAATTTGTCTATTGGATTATGGCTTGTGCAGTTCTCTTGTAAAGTTGTCTTTACATTATAGTGATGAACTGTAAATGGTGTAGTGCATTATTTTGTCCAAAGTAATTCAAATTAATGACCCTAGAAATATTATTTTAGGTGACTGTTATAAAGCATTGGCAATACCCATGAATATTACGAGCAGAATTTCTTTTCTTCTTTGTAATGTATGCATTGCCATGTGTTAATAAACTATTTTCAGATCATCTTCAGAACTTGCTGTCTCTTGCAGGAGTTCCACTTGCCAGTCTTGTGTCTATTCTAGTAGCAAATGAATGTCAGGTAAATGCTGATAGCAAACTATCAAAAGTTAGAATACATTTTTCTTGCCTTTACTTGCATGCTCACATTCACGTTTCACATTACCTAAAGCATCAGTGATTCTGACTGAAAATAGAAAAGAAATTGAAGTGCGGTGATCTCCTAGATTCTTCACCTTGTAACTGTCAGCTTAGGAAGTCCAAAAATTACTTTATTTTTTTATTTAAATGAAACTTTCAGAAAGGAGAAAAACAAAAAATGAAAATTATTTTTCTGATTCAGATAAACATTACTCTGGATGCTAAAAAAGGATTTACTTCTCAAGAATGGAAGAGGTGTGTATCTTCTTGCACTAGCTCGTGTCATCCTAACCAAGAAAGTATTAAGCCATACCAACCACAGATAGTAGCACTTTGAAATTATTGAAAAAAAAAACCAAAAACCAACCAAATTTCTTCCAAACTGCACAGCACCAGAACTAGCACACATTTGGGAAATATGCCATCATAGCAGTGTCCAGAGACAGTCATATGAAGTTTAACGATCAGAGGAGGATATGAAATTATTTGAGCTTCACAGAAACTACTCATGACTAAATAGTGAAGACCAGTTCTAAGGAAAAGTGAATGGATCACAATAGGATGAAGTCCACCAACTTTTGAATTTCAGAAGAGAGTATTGACGAGTAAGTTTTCTATTAAGTAATATTAAAAACACACTACTGTGACAATGATGCTAGAACACCTGTTTTCTGTAGTTGTCATAGACTCGTTGTGCTTCACCTTGTCCTGAAGAAATGGTTCTGCAGCTCATCCAGTTGTGTCCATAGTAAGGCTGGCCAGTAGTAAAAGCAAGAACTTTGAACTTCCACATCCCTTAATTTTTTCAATTAGCTCATTCAAAATACATTTCAAAAATTCCTGTAATAACTTCTCAATCTTTCGCCCTGACAAAGTATTACAAGCAAATCAGCATTAAATATACATTTCTTTATTTTAAAGGTCATTCAGGAGTCACGCACCAAACTAACTTTAGTTTCAGCAGAGGCTGAAAACAGATCAGAAATGTATTCCTCAGATGACATTTGCCTATAAATCCCACAAAAAAAAAAATTCCTTTAATATCAGGCACACCCTTCTAATTTCTTAGAAGCAGCTAGATACTTTATACCCACAATGAGCTTTCCTTACTTCAGGCAAATAATTTTTTTTTTTCCACCATGTTGTATGGACTACGTGTTCATGTGCCAGAACTGCAGAAACCCGTAAATCTTTCTATCCTAGATGGGCAGAATTAATTTCAGATTTAATCACACTGCTGCATAATCAGGACCACTGATAAGGAGACAGAGTAACTCTCAACAGAAATCTGATGTATGCACAATGCTGTAGCATGCACAGTGCTTGAATGCAAAAATAAGAGACGAATCTTTTGTATATGGCTCATGAAAAGGACATGAAGACCAGGTCCACAGTGACCATTCTAAAAAAATGTGCCACAAATGGAAATTGAGCAGATGTATCCATCTCAATTAAAACCTAAGACAGTAGAATATCAGCTTCTTTGAGGTAACACAATATCTGCTCAATCAAAATTATAAACTACAGCATTAATGAAGGAATTCACTTTTCCTACTAATGATGGGAATTCATTGTTTCATACAAGTTAATAGTCAAAGGTAAATATAAGAAGGAATCCTAAGAATCCAAACTGCAGACACTTCTTGCTGTCCTCAGGGAATACCATCTTTGGCTTCATGAAGAAAGAGGTAGGTGATGGTTTTAAAGAAGCAGCTCTAAAGATCCTTTATTATTTTTTACAGATAAAATATTGCCAAGCTGCAAAGCTGTCTCTCTTTCAAGAGTACCCTACAAAAACACAAAGGAATATAAAGAGAGAGAGAGAAAAAGAGAAAGGAGGGAGGGAAGGAGGGAGGGAAGGAGGGAGGGAGGGAAGGAAAGGAAGGAAGGAAAGGAAGGAAGGAAAGGAAGGAAGGAAAGGAAGGCAAGGAAGGAAGGCAGGAAGGCAGGCAGGAAGGCAGGCAGGAAGGCAGGCAGGAAGGAAGGAAGGAAGGCAGGAAGGAAGGAAGGCAGGAAGGAAGGAA